TGCTGCTACGACTACGACTACGACTGATAACGATGGCGACAGTCTCATGACTCACCCTGTTTGGGCCCGATTTGGAAGCATTCGGGCTGCGGAGCAACCCCAGCAAGTCTTCAACCAAGGACTACGCGGTATGTATATTGTGTATTATGTATGTATGTATATATTATATATGTATATATGTGTATATATATATACACATATATAACATTACATGCACATATATACATGTACATATCCATGCCTATCTAATCTAGCTTTCGGTCTCTATATCTATCTACCTATCTATCTCCCTGTTTCTTTCAAAACACTCGAGGTCTATTCTTTAGGTCCGGAAGACCCCGTAAACGTCATACTTAAAATGCGGACTACTGAATTGCCAGGCCAACCCAAAAGCCCTTTCGGCCACAGGCTGCCGGCTTTGTGAGGATGATGCTCGGTGCATTGCAGGCGGAGGTCACCAGCGACCCCCCCCCTTGCCCTAAACGCTAAGCACCCCTCGGCCCTGACCCGAAACCCTGAACCCTGAGCCTCGCAACCCTAAGTCCTCAACTCCAAGTAGCCTTCAACCCTAGCTCCCAGTCAGCTGTACATACAACAGGGTTGGGCCTCTCCCCTGACTACTCTGCGGGCTGCAGGCTTTAGGATTTTAGAGTTTTAGTGTCTTAGGGTTAAGCGCCTGCTTTGGTAGGGTTTGTTTTCGATACCGAATGCATATTTCCCTCCTTGGGGATGCCGGGATGATACTCTGTGTGTGTGTGTGTACGTGACTGTCCTTTGGATCCCCACAGTCGGCAACAACAATCTTATTTTACCGGCAGCACCACAGCACAAGGAACGCAAGTAGTCGCTTTAGGCACAGTCACTCCTTAAAGAGAAGTACCTCAAGATCGTCCTTTTTGCTGCGTGTTGCAAGCCTACAATCTCAAAGCCCGACTAACCGAAGCTTTCAATCAACCCCAACTACATCCCAAACCGAAGCACCGCCCCGCTTGCAGCCCTATACCTTCCTCGAAGGTGGTGAAAGCCTTACCCACTCAAGACTCCCTGCCAGCGGGCTCGTCCTTGCGAAGTAGGAGGCGAAAAACCTCGGGCGTGCCCTGTTTACCGTAAACCCTCCCAGCCAAGTCCTAAACCCTCTGAGCCCGAAACCCTGCGAACCCTTGACCTTCTGTGCCCTGAACCTGAAGAGTTGCATCGGACGAGTTCCCCGCGGTGGGAGAAAAGAGTTGCACCAAGGATCTTCCGCGAGTCGAAGATCAACGACGCCGAGCCTCGGGCCAAAGCTTCCAGGGAGTTCGGGGGGTTTGGGGATCTCTGGTCGGCTATGGGTTGTAGAGTCTTTTTAGAGCTTCAGGCTCATAGGGTTTTGGTGCTTTACTGCCTTTTGAAGCTTTCGGGGTTTTGGGTGTCAATCTGCAGGGCTCATGCGTTTTTGTTTCTGGGTGTTGTAGGGCTTTGGGGGTCTCAGGATGATCACTGGGGTGAAGGGGGGCCGTGCACCTCAACCCAGGATTCCGAAGCACAACCTCTGTCCTCAAAGCCTATGCGAAAGCTTGCAATGTCCGTTATTCAAAGAGCTACTAGTGTCTCAAGATTGCTTGAGCCCGCTAGCGCTATAAGGGTGAATCATCCGACAACCCGAAGACCTGAAACCTGCAAGGGTGGTTGCACGAACACACTGCCTCGACTGGAATCATCCGGCTGCGGGCGGGGAAACCCGAAGGCCTGAGAGCCCCAGAACCCCTGTGCCAGAAAACCCGAAGCCAGAAAAAACCCGCGGCGTGCCAAAGCCGAAGAACGACGAGCATCCCGGGAGCCCAATGTGAAACCCTCTAATTCCCCCCCCCCCCTTAAAAAAAGGTACTCTTCTTCGATGAGTGCGAGTCGATCTTCGAGTCAAGAGATCGGTCGACACAGCGTGATGCAACTAGGCAGTCTCATTTAGTTTGTAGGGTCTGGGGTCTCCTTGGGGCGCTTTGAGGTTGATGGTTAAGGGTCCGTTAGAGCATGGGGGGGGTCATTCGCGTGTGTATCTACTTGTTTGGGGTCTTGTCGAAAAGTGGTTTATATAGTTGGAGGTCTCTTGGGGATTTTGGGTGTCGTGGTCTTCTAGTTGGTTCAGGGCTCTAGGACTCTAGCGGTCTTTAGGGCTTAGAGGTCCTTAGCTTGCTCCAGAGGTTAGCGTAAAGCTGCCGTAGGAAACCCGACAAGCAAGTCGACCTGCCTGTTTTGAGTTACCGAGCACTCCTTGTCCCTTTCTGACGGGCATGGTTTAGATGAGCGGTGAGCTTTGTGTTGAAGAGTCAACTTATAACGCTTCGATCAAATAATACTGAACCAAGGCGGTACTGTGTATACATTTGACATACCCATCCACACATATACTGGAATCAGCAACTTTACCAAGCCCCTGAGGTTAACATGTTGCTGACGGAGCTAGAACGGCACGATGGCACCTCGGCCTTTGCTCCTTCGTGTTTCACAGGAAGCTTGGAGGAGGCCCAGGGTTGCAATTTTGGGGCTCTTGGGGGTGTCTAGACAATCCACCGGATTCCGAGCCTGAGAGCATGAGTATGCCTTCAGTTTGCAGTCCAGCCAGGTATGATCATCTTGGCGACAAATCGGCCATTCGATCTGGATGAAGCCATGCATCGGCGCATCACCTTGGCCATTGAGTTTTCCAAGCCGGACGGCAGTCAGCAAAAATCGTTCCAGAAAGGGGTTGGAAGCTAGTGGTGAAAGTCAATAGGCCAATAGGGACTTAAGGAACTGTGAATCGCAAGAGCGTCAGGCACCGACGCCATGCGAGCACTCCCTCTACAAGCAGCCTTTCGAGTTTATACCATGGCTGTTGTTAGCTGTACGATCAGGGCCGCATGAAACCGATAGAACCGAAAGTGACGCATCCAAATCCATGAAGCCGTAGGAGGTCACCCAAGGCCTTACTCATCCTTACCCCTTACCCACGGAACCTGCTCTACAGGGCCCAAGAGCCCCGCCCCCCACTCGCCCTGCGAGGATCATGTGCTTCGGCAGCACATTTGGAAGTCCTTACTCCCTGCGAGCCTTCCTCTCGCGGAAGATGTGGATCTGGCCGCGCTCGCCATGCGCTACGAGCTCTCTGGTGGTCCTTGCGCCGTCAATATTGTTAAAATGTCTCCTCAATCCAAAGGGCATGTGTAGGCCTTTCTAGATTCTGGATGGCTCGTGCACGCACTCGGCACTTGATCCCAACCGGGTGTCCGTCGACACACCGCCCAAGAAGTATAGAAAAGCTGTTCATCAAGAGACTCAAGCTTCGAATTCCGAGGTTTTATCAAAAATGCGATCCTGACAGCCTTGAGCATTGCCTGCGCGCGGGCAGAACAGAGTCGGGCATCAACGCAGCCCAACGATGTGCGCGTGACGCAGGACATGGTCGCAAGGTAACTGTTTCTGAGATGAAGGCTGATGATTTTCTGACGGCCTGGGAGGTTTCATTCTGGGGTCAGGCTTTCGTGCGCAAGATGTTGAAGTATGTACACTTGTCGTGAGTGCATCGGCTGGCTGTTTAAGTGTGCGACTTGTGCATCACAAGCCTTCGTAGAAGGTCAGACCAGCCTTGACCAAACTACAGACCACAGCCATGGGTAGGACATGTACCGTTTCTTACAATACCTGAAACCTTTCCATCCTCACCCCACCTCTAGCCACCAAGCCCTCATCCAAACCTTTCTCCCCCCAAAAATCGAAGGAAGATCTGGCCAAGGGCGCCCAGCTGCAGCTACGGGGCCTCCTGGACCTTCTTGTCACAATTATGGCTGCTGCTGTTTGGGGATTCAGGGTTCGGCGTCAGTGAGACAAGGGTGATAAGGGCTTTCAGAGTAAGAGATGAGCAAGAGGGGCCGAGACCCTGGGTTCAGGAGGCAACGCAGAGGGGATGTGGCTGCCACTGCCGGGTCATGTGCGAGTTACACCGTGTCATCTACTGTTTTCCTTACGGCCCGGTAAACATGGCAATCTGATAGGCTCTGCAAGCATCACAAGCCAACAATTCTGGACGGAGGTTATTTTGATTCCACCCCGCATTGGTGAAGTTGTCATTGAGCCCGATTGTTGCAAGTCTTTTCCAGAATTGAATTATGAGGCCCATGAGGAAAGGACATGAGGGCTCTAAGGTTCGAACGCTGGGCCTGGGCCTGGGGAACCTGAGAGTAGTGTAAGAATAATGACCAACAGTATTCCTCAGGGTTCCTGTTTTGAAATATACTAGGATTCACCGCAAAACCCTATTCTAATTGTCAGGGCTCCTATATTACCTGGTCTGGAGTTCCTAATCTGTCCCTTCTGTGGAGGGCAAGTTTTGAAAAACTCAGCAAGACGCTGCAAGCCATCTGTGGAAGCCGGGACTCTCAACAAAAGCCAAGCTCGAAGCCCAGACAACACCTGCAGTTGGTTGTTCTAGGAAAATTGATTAGCTTTTCTGCTAGGTCCAAGTTTTTCTAGACAAAGAAACCGCAGTGGAAGCAGACTCTAATCCCCAAAAATCCTCAGCAAATTGGTGTGCCGAGGTCGCCTGGCCATGCGTAGTTTCGAACGTCGAATTGTCCCCCGTAGCGGCCTTGAGTGCTTGGCACCTCGGATGAAGCCCCTGCCGTGAACTTGTGGTATGGTGTTTTGCTTGCAGGACTTGTGAGGCTTTATTCAATCTTGGGGCTGTTGTGCATGCAGATGCTGGCTTTGATATGGAACATGCGTTGAGCATCTCGCTGATGCGGTTTTGCCTTGGGTGGTCCTGCGCATGTCGCCGATGGCTTTGTGTTGTGTGTCTTTTGCAGGCATGGGGTGCCTTTCTCGAATTGAAGTATTTCACGGCAGTGCTCACACTACAGATCCGACTGCACGACGGCGACATTCAACTAGCTATCAGCTAGCTTAATTAGTAGCTTGCTGACCAATAAACTAGCAATGGACTACCCCCACTAAGAAGCAGAGGAAGAAGTAAGTCTCGATCACTGGCTGCATTGCCACGGCTACTGATCTTCCTCTCATCTTCTGAGTCTTGTCCACGGCATCCTGCTTGTGTCGATATTGCGGCCAGTCGTAGTTCCTGTCGTCGTACAAGTCTCGCACAACTCGAAGGCTTGGAATCCAAAGGTTGCCGACCATGGCGCGGCACGTTGTTTGTATCACTGTGCAGGTGATTTACTTTGCTTCCGCAGAGTGGGGAAGATACAACGCGAGATGGGTATAAGTATTCCATCGTACTCTCCATTCCCACCCACTTTAACATAAAATTATCCTTCCCAGCATGCTTGCAAACTTATGGCTGGAAGCCGAGAGCTTCTTGGGGGGGTCGGGCTCCGGCTCCGAGTGCTTGTCGGAGGTTTGTGGGCCCAAGCTGCGGGCGAAACTCCAGGAGGTCATCGACTTTGAGAAATCGAAGAGTCTTGTCGGGTCGTACGGAAGTTTTTTTTTTTTTTGTGGGGGGGG